TCAGCCAGGTCTGTGCCCTCTCGTGGTCTGGAAGCCCTCGGGGGATATCCGACTGCTGGCTTAGGCCCACTCCCCATAGGGAGTTGGACATCCTTCGCGCCGCCGCAGAGGTGGGAGAGGCTCCCACCACTGCTGCTGCACTCATCAGCTGTGAGCCCAGCCTCTGGCTGAGTGGCGCTCCCCCTGTGGGAGCACACTAACCACCAGGGGGCAGCTTCTGCATTGAGCGTCTGTCCCCTGGTGGTCAGTGTGCTTCATAGCAACTGGTCATTCCACCGTTTGGTTGATTTGCATATTAGCCTTTTATTATTTAGGATTTCTAGCTTTCATTGGAGCACTATGTGACCAGTGATTGACTTCTGGCCAACAGAATGGGCTAGCATGAAGAGCAGCGCTGCCAGGGTCGGCCTGTTAAATCTCACAAGCACAATTGCTCGGGTGCCAGCCTATCCTCAGGTGAGGTTTCCAAGGGCCTATCAGTGGTAGAGATAAAAGATGGATCTGGAGTCTCTGATTGAGTGTGAGAGCAGGGCTTCCTTGGCTGACATGTATAGATGATTCTGTAAACTCTGATTTTCTTAAGCTACTGAGAATTTCGGGATTGTTTTAGCAGTTCTCCTTCCCTGATTAAGGAAGTGTCTATTCAGTGCCAGCCTTCATTTTGGGCAAGAAACATAATAGCAAGCAAACAAGAGACAAGGTGCCTGCTCTCACAAGTCATGTTACAGAAAGAGGTGGGGCAACAATAAACAGCGGTCATTTACATTCATGTGGTGCTTTACAAAGTGTTTTCATAAGCACCCGTTCATTTCATTTTTATAACAGTGTTTTACAGATGAGGAAACAAAAGCTCAATGATTTTAAGTGCCTTCCACAAAGCAGAGTTAGGAGCCATACACATGCAGCAGTTTTCTGGCTCCCAACCCATTGTTTATACCAGGATGTTTATCAAGTGTGAGGCTATGACAGAGCAAGGACAATGTTAGTCCTTGCCAGAAAATTCCATTACTCAATTTTATTTATTTTTTATATTTTTAAAATTGATTTCAGAGAGGAGAGAAACATCAATGATGAGAAAGAATCATTGGTCAGCTGCCTCCTGCACGCCCCCTACTGGGGATTGAGCCTGAAACCTGGGCATGTGCCCTGATTAGAATTGAACCATGCACGCCCTGGCTCATAGGTCCACACTCAACCACTGACCCACACCAGCCGGGCTGACTATGTTTCTTAACCAAAGGTTGCAACTCCTGTTAGGAAGCTCTCTCTACCCAGCTCACTTTGGGTTTTGGTATTTGCCCTGTCCCCTTATTCCTTGGAATGGAATGGAAATGCTGCCCCATTGTGCCTTAACATATGGACCCTTTATTAAACTCTTCACTCTTGTCAAATTTCCCAGCTTGAGGGTGTCATCTGCTTATTTCCAGGTTCTGACTGATGGAATGTTCTCTCTTCTCTCTTTCTACACATACACACACACACACACACACACCACATTTTTTTCTTTTTTTATAAATTTGAGATAATTCATATTTATAAAAAAATTAAGAATAAAAACCATTATGAAGCATTTATTATATGTCAAGCATTGTGCCAGGGTTAAAGGTTGGGGATATAGAGAAAAATGAGAAATAAACTCTCCTGTCGCAAGGAAGTCAGTCTGGTAGATGAGAGATGGGTGAAAAATTAAAGGCAATGAGTATAGTGGTTAAGAGTGTGAGTTTTGTAGTCAAAGTCACTTGAGCTCAAGTCCAGGCTAAGCCACCTACTGGTTATGTGACCTTGGCTAGAGAGAAAAAAATGGGATTAGTACTAGGACCTTCCTTATAGAGGCCTTGTGAAGATGAAAAGTAAACCCATTAGCATCTATATGTACTCATACATTAGCATTTGGTGAGACCTTAATAAACGTTAACTAAGATTATTAACTGCTACAATTGCACTTTGTACCTAGTTTAAAGGTAGCACCGAGGAGGTCAGCAAAAGTTTAATGGGTGAAGTGATGCCTACGCTGGATTTTGAAGAAATAGTGATTGCACCGAGAGATCAAATAGAGACAGGCAGGCCAAGCAGAGGGAACAGCATGTATAAGAACATGCAAAAATAAAATAGCAGTGTGTGTCCAGGGAACTGTGAGCAGTTTGCTATTGCTGGAGGGTCAAGGCCAAGGCATGAAGAATAGTGAGAGGTAAGACTAACAAGTACTTTTGGGCCCTTAAGCACTACACAAATTCTACCCAACTTAATCACAACAAACTCTATGAGGTAGGCACTATAATCTGGATTTTTCAGATACGGAAAGCAGGGTTGAAGGCAAAGGGGTTTGCTTATTGCCCACGGCACTGCTTTCCTAAAAATGCAAGGAAGAGCAGTCCCCAGAGCAGACGGTCAGTAGGGGCAGGACAGTCTCTACCCTCCTTGTGCCCAAGAAGAAACCTTAGGATCTTTGGGACCAGAATTTTCAGAAATTCTTGTTCCTCCATTTTATTAGTTCAATCCTGAACACAACCCATCAGGGGTCAACAAACTGGAATTTCTTTAGAGTAGGTGGACATGGATTACAAGGGATCTAAACGTTCTATATAATACAAGGGGATGTTGTCGGAACTGACAAACCATAAGATACGATACTTTGTCTCAAATACATAAAGAGCTATCATATAGAAGAGGACGTATTGGTTTTTCTAAATCTAAGAGTAATCCATGGCATAATGTTATGTGAATGTGTAGACTAAAACATTTGATCAATATGTAAACATCAAATATGCCCGTGGATAAGGACTAAAGGTAACAAGGACAAATGAAACATTGATGTGTTTAGTTGATGGTATTGTGGCCAATTTGTGTCTTGGCTGCTGCTGCTTCTTCTTCTTCTGTATTTTTCTGCAAAAAAGAAATTTTAACAAATAAAAACAAACATAAAAGAAAAATACAAATATTAATAAGAAAAAATGTCTTATAATTTATTAAAAAAACAGGACACCATTTTCATTTATCAAAATTACAAGCGTTAAAAATAGATCGTAACTGGCACTAGTATGGTCTCTGGAAATAAGATCTCTAGTGCAGTTCTGACCAGAGTGTAAACATGTACATACTTTCTGAAGAAAATTTTGACAAACTGTATAAAAAATGAAGTGACAGCCTTTCGATGCATGGATTCCACTCTCAAGACTATATATCCCCCCTCCCAAAGAATATATCCTAAGTAAATAAGGATGTATGCAAAGTTCTTATTAAAAGGGTATTCGCTGAATCCTTGTGTGTAACATATAACAATTGAAAATAACCTAAATGCCTATTAGTGAGTTTGGTTCAGTAAATTATCCACACAACAGAATGTTATGCAGACTGTAAAATCATGTGGTAAAAGTATATTTAATGACAAGAAAAAAAGTTCATGGCATAATAATTGAAGAAAGCAGGTAACTAAATACTCTGCATGGTATGTTTTCCTGTTTTTGCAAAAAAATATTTTATATGTACATATATACACATATATTTGGTGGTTGATGCCTTTTTGCTTATGTGTATATAACATCTTAAATTTTATTACATCATTTGCATTGCTTACATTGCAAAACAAAGTTATTTAAAATAAAAGTTACGTGAACTTTTCTTGTCTAATAAATATGCATTTAGCCTTAACTGGTTTGGCTCAGTGGATAGAGCATTGGCCTGAGGACTGAAGGGTCCCAGGTTCAATTCCGGTCAAGGGCATGTACCTTGGTTGCGGGCACATCCCCAGTAGGGGGTATGCAGGAGGCAGCTGATCAATGTTGCTCTCTCATCAATGTTTCTAACTCTCACTCTCCCTTCCTCTCTGAAATCAATAAAGATATGTTTTAAAAAAGATGCATTAAAAAATGGGTTAGCTATCACAAAGTTCACAGTATTTAGTTCAGTGGTTCTCAACCTTCCTAATGCCGAGACCCTTTAATACAGTTCCTCATGTTGTGGTGACCCCCAACCATAAAATTATTTTCGTTGCTACTTCATAACTGTAATTTTGCTACTGTTATGAATCGTAATGTAAATATGTGATATGCAGGATGCATTTTCATTGTTACAAATTGAACATAATTAAAGCATAGTGATTAATCATAAAAACAATATGTAATTATACATGTGTTTTCCGATGGCCTTAGGCGACCCCTGTGAAAGGGTCGTTCGACCCCCAAAGGGGTCGCGACCCACAGGTTGAGAACCGCTGATTTAGTTGACCAATACATTTTAGTTCCTCTCTCTTCTCTAGTGACAGGAGGTATTCAAGCACAAGTCAGAAAATGGCAGATCTGGGATGTGGTTGGAGAGATTGAGGCAACAGGTTCGCATCGGATGACCTCTAATGCTCCTTGCAACTGACGTTTCATGATTCTTACAATTGCCCTCTATTTACCTCTTAAATTACTTGGGATGATACAAAAACATAGATACAGTATAACTAAGGCTTGTACTGAATACATAGTAGCCGCTGCCCTACTATTATTAGCACCTTAGATTGTGAATGGAGGGGGTGGTGCGAAAAGAATACCCGGCGCCAGGGAGGGCCAACGCCACCCCAGCCCCCCTCCTCAGACACTCTCCGGCTCCTTCTTTGTGAATGAGCCGCGGCCCCCAGGCCTCAGAGCGGCGTCCACGAGAAGCAGAACTTTACAAAGGGGCGTTAGTCCCCTTTCCCAGGAGCTGCCGGCGGGACTGACGCCGAGGAGCGAACGGCTCTCGCCAACCGCCCGGAGCGGGGACACTGAGGACACCGGGGCTGTCAGGAGGGACGGCTGGGCATCTGCCTCCGGCAGAGCGCGAGGCACGTGGGCCTCCCCTCGCGGGCCTCCCGGCCTCCCCGCCCCGCGCTCCCAGGGGGCGTCCGCCGCGGGAGGGGGTCTCGGCCAGGTCCCCGCGCCCCCACGTGCGCCGGCCGCCGGGGGGCGGGGCGAGGCCGGGGGGGGGTGGGGGGTGGGGCGGGGCGCCCGCTGCGCGCGCGCGGGGCCGGGGCGGGGCGCGCAGCTCGGCCTGGGCCTGTCGGGCGCTCTCCTTCCTTCCGCGCCCGGCCTGGCGGGCCCAGCTCCTCCCCCGTTCGGCCTCGCTCCTTCCCTGGCCCTCCCTCCACCGGCCGTTCCTCTCTCCCTCCTCCTCCTCCTCTTCCTCGGCGAGGCGCTCCTCCAGCAGCCAGACAGCATGGCGGCCGTGGAGACGCGGGTGTGCGAGACGGCCGGCTGCAGCAGCGAGGCCAAGCTCCAGTGTCCCACCTGCATCAAGCTGGGCATCCAGGGCTCCTACTTCTGCTCGCAGGTAGACGCCCGCCTCCGCGGCCCCGGCGCCGGTCCTCTCCCCTGCCCTCTCCGCCTGCCCTCGCGGCCGGCCAGACGCGCTCCTCCTCTTCCCGGGGCTGGCGCGCCTGCTGCGCTCTCCGGCCCCCCCCCCCCCCATTCGCAGCGCCGGCGCCCCCTGCAGCCCCCCTGCGATCTGGGGCCTGGAGGGACTGGGGAGCCGGCGGGGGCGGGGCGCGGTCTGTTGCGGCCATGTGGGGGGGAAGCGGAAGAGGACTTCCCCCCGGGCGCCCGGCCGCCCCGGGGCGCTGCGTTGACGGGCCGGTTCCCGCCGCGCGTCGTCTGCTGGGGCGAGGGCTCCCAGGTGCGCGGGCTGCCGGGACAGGTGGGGATACCTGGGGAAGGGGTGGCCCTGGCCCTGCGAGTCGCCCCGGCAGCTCTCGGCGGGGCTCTTGTCTTGGATTGCGGAGTGGGGTGGGGGTGGGGGTGGGGGGGTCTCCGGGGCCGGTAGTCACTCTGGTCTCGGCGGGATTGGGGCGGGGGGTGGTCGGAAGAGACCCGCTGGGCTTTGGGGGGTGGGTTGCCTGGGGATGGTGGGAGTTGCAGGGAGGAGGAATGCTGGCTCCAGCCCTACCTCCGTCTTTGACACTTAGGCAACTTTGGGGGGTGGGGTGGGGTGGAGAGGGTTTTGTGTAATTTATTATTTTCCTTGGGTGTCCACAGTGACTGATTTAGAGAACCATAGCTTAACGATCTGAGTCACCTTTTGCATTGACTGCATTTCCCATGGAGTGAAAAAGACAGTTCCATTCAGGGTTCTGCTTTAAGGCGGTAGTGCGTCTTAGTAAGTTTTGTGCAGTGGAGCACACCCGGCACCGAGTGGGGTCCTGACGGAGGCGTGTGCTTGTGTGTATGTTTACTGAGAAGTACTAGTGTTCCGGCTGCAGTTCACACTCAAGATTTGGGCAGAGCGGCAACGTTTTGGAATTGTGGCTTTTCGTTACAGTCCGGGTTTGCAGGAGACGCAAGAATACTAACGTATTAAATCGGCAGTGTCCTGCGGGGAGAAGAACATGAACATGGTCTGAAGGCCAGGTCAGGACCCTGCGCTTGCCAGTTACTGTGCGATTTTGAACGAGTCAAGTTACTTACCCTTTCTGAGCTCTCATTCCACCACCGTACAGAGAGGAAGATATATTTTACTGACATATTTCGCAAGGTCGTTCCGAGCCCCAAATTATTCAATGAATGTGAAATGCTGGTAAAAATCCAAGGCATTTTTTAAACAGGCCACCAGTACGATGTAACACTGCCATATGTGAAAATATCAATGAATAGAATGAAAACATATATAAGAACAGCACACACAAATATGAGTCTGTAAACATAAAGATGTATGTAAAATAAACATAAATAACATCCAAGACACTTGTAGATAAACCATTGTAAGGGATCCTAGCTATGTTGTATAGGTCTTGTTTTCAGATAGGATATGATCCTTGACCTTGTTAGTATCACTTGGAAAAAGTTGCACATTGAGAAGTGTTGCTTATTCTAAAAATAGCAGTGGGCCTTCTCAACATACTAAATCTGGTATGAGTCCGTTTGTTTCTTTAAAACAATTTTCAGATTCTAATTTGTTGAGGCCTAAGTGGGACCTGGACTTAAAACATAATATATAGTTTCCTTTTGGAAACTGTGTGCCATTTGAATCGAGTAATGTGGGTTACATTGTGTTTAAGAATAGGTGGGAATTGTAATGCTGAATTAATTAATATGTATACACATTTATCTGCTGAGATTTAAAAAAAGATACTATGAAACCATATTCCTCAAACATAGGTGATGCTCTCTTAGGCATGATATTCTTCAGTAGAAGGAACTTTGGCTCATTGAGGTTTGTGGAAAAGTTCCAACACTTTTGTGAAAACATGCAGGGTTTATTAAGTGCTGTAGAACTGGAGTTGTGTCATGCTGGGTTCTGCAGGTATATTTCTGGTACCATTGCTATACTTGCAGTCAAACATATTCCGAGTTGCTCTCACACTGTCTCTCTTTCTTCATTCCTATTGCTACCTCTTAGGGTCAGTTTTTAAAATTTGACACCAAGCCAGTTGTAGTGGTCTCTTAATGTATTTCCCAAGTGTAGTTCCCCACTGTGCAAACACCCACCCACATACACAAAAACATCCAAACAAAACTTTCCTAAAGAAGTTATTTTTCCCCCAGCATAGCTCAGGCTGATTATGCTTACCCTCCACCCACAACAAGTAGAGTTACCATTGCTTCTGGGATGCTAGCCCCATAATCAGGGCCCTCTTCAGAGTTTAACTTTACATATTCTCTTGCTCTAACTAGCGCAGTGGTTCTCAACCTTCCTAATGCCCCGACCCGACCCTTTAATACAGTTCCTCATGTTGTGGTGACCCCCAATTTCATTGTTACAAATTGAACATAATTAAAGCATAGTGATTGATCACAAAAACAATATGTAATTATATATGTGTTTTCCGATGGTCTTAGGCGACCCCCAAAGGGGTCGCGACCCACAGGTTGAGAACCGCTGAACTAGAGACTTTACTTGTACTCTTTCTTTCACCCAACATGTCACCTGTTTTCTCAAATCACAGCTGTTCTTTCAGTCCCAGCTTGAGACTTTAACCAAATCACCAACTTTCCCTAAGCCAGTTTATACATCTGTGATGAAACTAGAGCTTTTTCTTGCCATTTCTCTGATTATCTTCACTAGGAGTGCTGTGCTCTCTACTTTTAGCTCCTCCAGTCCCCAGCCTGGCTGTCTGGCCAGTTTGTCTTGTGAATAAACGGAGAATAAAACTACAAGAAGCCATCACAGAAGGGAGCCTTTCCCAGTTACTCTGTCACACCACCTTGTTTATTTCCTTTGTAATTTATACAATCTAGTTATCTTACTTGTTTTCTTATTTATCTGTCTTTCAATCTCTGATTTAGGTGAGCTTCATGAATAAAGCTATCTTGTTCATTGCCCTATTGTCATTTTTCAACACAATGCTGTGTATGTGGTAGATGGTCAATACATTTTTTTAATGTGTTAATAGGTACATTTATTGAAAAAAAATTGAAGGCTATGTATCAAAAACATTAAGAATGTTCACTATTTTGACCTAGGAATTTAAATTCAAGCAAAATAAAGAAAATTCCAGGGATGAGCACAGACTTGTTCCCATAAGACCAACATGCCTCTGATAGAGTGCCTGATAAGTTGTCCTTCTGCATGGTTGATCTGTCGGTGAGATCAAGAAGTGACACAGCATAACTGAGGCTGAAAATGTTGCCTGAATACCAGCATACTGATGTGGGATCATCCTGTTTCTTTTCTTTTTCTTTCTTTTTTTATTTTAAGCTCTTTATTGTTTAATGTATTACGTAAGTCTCCTTTTCCCCCCATTGAACTCTCCCTGGCCGCCCCCCCAATCCCCCAGCACATGTCCCCCCCCACCCCCCCATCTGTGTCCATGGGTTATGCTCATATGATGCATGCATTCAAGTCCTTTGGTTGATCTCTTAGCCCCTCAACCCCCACCTTCCCTCATAGGTTGGACAATCTACCCGATGCTTCTGTGACTCTGGTTCTGTTTTTGTTCATCAGTTTATGTTGTTCATTCTTTTTCTTTTTAAAGAACCAGGATAGTGAAATTTGTATTTTGGTAAAAATTTTAAAGGTGATTTTCCTTTAAGGTAAAAAATTGTTTAGTACTTAATATGTTTAGTGTTTGGTTTACAGTAAAACTGATAGGAAGGTACAGACATTTCTCATATATTTCTTGCCCCATAAACATGCATAACATCCACTATCAATATCACTCATCAGAATGGTATACTTTTTTAACCAAGGATGAACCTACACTGGCACATCATAATCACTCCAAATCCAGTCTGTCTTGAGTGTTCATTATTTTTATTTAATAAATAAATAAATTATTGATTTCAGAGAGGAAGGGAGTGAGAGATAGAAACATTAGTGATGAGAGAGGATCATTCATGGGCTGTCTCCTGAATGCCCCGTACTGAGGATCGAGCCTGCAACTAGGCATGTGCTGTGACCTGGAATGGAACCGTGATCTCCTGGTTCATAGGTCGATGCTCAACCTCTGAGTCACACCGGCCGGTCTAGGGCTCATTTTTAATGTTGTACAATATGTAGGTTTGGACACATGAATAATGACATATGTCCATTTTATAGTGGCATACATAGTATTTTCACTGCCTAAAATCCTCTGTGCTCTGCTTGTTCATTCTTCCATCCATTCCCACCCTCCCCACCCCTCAAACCCTTGGCAACCACTGATCTTTTTATTGTCTTCACTAGTGGCCTGGTGCATGAATTCGTGCACATTGAAAGGAAATTAATTAGAAGAAATATTTTAATATTGCTGTTCGCCCTTTCTCTATAATAGAAGTGTCAACCAAATTCACAATCGACAATGACAGATTGAAACACACGTGTGCGATTGGCACCAGCGAGAGCTTTATATGTATCGCATATGCATGCGTCAACTTAGCCTTTTATGTATATACTAGAGGCCTGATGCACGAAATTTGTGAAGGGGCTCAGCCCTCGCAGCCCCGGCTTCGTCTGGAAGGTTGTCCAGATGGTCTTTCGGCTGTTTGTTCTAATTGGCATATTAGCTTATATAGTATAGAATAAATTTGCTTAATTAGAACTGCTTTCTGATGTAGCTAAACTTTTTCCAGCCCAGTGAAGCACCCCAACTTCTCTTCCAGGTAATTGTCAGCAACACAGCAGTAAATATCAGCATGAAGCAGATTATTATTGTAGATCATGCAGGGAGAACAAAGGATAAAATATTTAACTGCAGCAGTGTTTGACTATATTCTGTGCAGTGAGAAAACTTGAAGTCATTTTCAAGGTCTGTCATTTCTTACTTCTTTTCAGTCAGGTCAAGTTTCTAAACTTTCTAAATCTCTGTTTTCTGGCTAATGAAAAGAAAATAGGATTCCACTGCGTCTCCTATCCACCTA